ATGGTAATAGGTTGGGATTCTTTTTGGCCTCTTTTGTTATCTTCTATTTCTCATAAGAAGACTCCTGTCCCTTGTGTGTGAAGCGCTTCGTTATAACTGAATTGTAGAGAAAATCAAAACAGCTATAAAGATGCCCCTTTGACTATGTGCAAACAAACAGACTGCTTTGATTTGTGTCGTTTTGGGCCCAACAGACACACTTGATTTGCTGCAGAGAAGCAGTGGGTTTGGGCAAGGTGCTTAAATCCTCTTCTTTCTGCTTGCTCCTTTCCCCCTGCAAACCTACCACCACCACTGCAATTCTTGCCACATTCTGGGTTCAACGTATGCTTACCTCATCACAGGGACAACTGATTGGGCACAAAGTTGTAGAGGAGAGAAACAGAGCGCGGGGAAGGTTAAGCTAAGCATCTCTTCCACCCACTTGGCCTCTGCATGCTGTGGCCTTCCCTGTTGCTTTGCAGCTGTTTGGCAATAACCCAGGTTCTCAGACTTGGATTGATCACTGAGTGACTGATTTGGCCCTTTCCTTACTGCACTAATCTGGCATCTTCTATCTAGTCAACTTTATGTTCAAAGCAGATCACGAAGACACACAAATATCCACATTTTAGACACTCATCGCTTTAAGCATAAAAACAATGCACACATTTCCTCCAAAGTCTTACAAAGCAGGAGCTGATCCTATCCAACAGAAAAAAGCAAAGACTTTTTAGCAAATGAAGGTAACGGCAAGAAAAAACAAGCTGAGAATAAACTAGTTAAGTATAGGGACTATAGTTTCCACATATATTCCAGGTGTGACATTTTGAACTATAACATACTGGAGCACATTGAAATTAATGCTTCTCTTCCAGCTGCATGCATTTTCCAGTTCTGTAAGAAAATCCTTGTTACCAAATGATGAATTTGAAACCATATTTGTTTGCTAAGTGACTTGCACAAATAGAAGGACTGCTAACTGATGTTATTTCACAAACTGCAAAGAGTTTTGTGGTACCTTAAAGACTTAACACATTTATTATGGCATAACATTTTATGGACTTGAGTTCAATTCATCAGATGCATGTAGTGTTATTCTGAGATGGCAGGTATATATCAACACGGGTAGAGGGGGAAAACGAAAGCTGTGCAAAGGGAAAATTAAATGCAAAAAACCCGAGTGACAACATATGTAAAATAATTACTGCAACAAACTAGCATAGCTAGCCCTTCAAGAAATTATTTCAGTTTTAGCTGTCTTGGTTTTGTGTAACACAATCTTAAGCAGGGGTCAGCAGACTTTTTGGAGGGGGTTGGTTCACCCCCCCCCAGACCTAGTGGCGGGCCAGACTGCGCACGTGGCAGAGGGGGCTTCTCTCTTTCCCCCAGTCCCTCCCCTCCCCCTGCCTAGCTCCCTCCACTGTTCTGCCTATGGTGGTACCTCTCATTTTGGGGACAGCTTTCCCGGGTGGGAGGTGCAGGGCCAGCAGGCATGCCAAGCTCCAGCCCACAGCACGGCCATGAGGTGAGGCCTGTGAGGATTCCTATCAAAGCCCAATCCCCTTCCTCCGCAGGGCAGGGAGAAGCCAGGAAGAGGGAGGGAGGAAGAAAAAATTGCAAAAAATGGCACCCAAAAAGCAATTGGGGGAAAAATGGCGATCGCACCGATTGCAGAAACGTTTGTGGGCCGAATCCAGAGGGCAATTGGGCCTGATCCGGCCTGCAGGCCTTAGTTTGCCAATCCCTGATCTTAAGCATAGTTACTAGTCAGAAGTAAGTTCAACTTAATTCAATGGATTTTTTTCCAAGCAAGTGTGCCTAAATCTACTGCTTTGTCCTAGTCATTTGTTTTTAAAGGACAACACGTTCTGAAAGCAGTATGTAGCAGAAATATACCCCAGATTTGTATTTCCGCAAAAAAAAGGGGGGGGTATGAGAAAAGAGAGGCTGGCCAGGAAAAATGCAGGATTAGGAACAACAACTAATCAAGTAATGTATAAAATAATAAAGTAATGTGTGTAGGTGATCAACTGCTTTTTAAAAAGAACCATACATCCCTATACCATTGTGCTACTTTACAACATGTAGCTGGAATCATCAGATTGTGCATCATCAGTCAAGCAAAATATGCAGGGATGACATCAGGATTTGAGGTAAGTTTTACAATGGATTAGAGAGAGGGAGAACACAGACAAACAGACTGGCATGATTTTGGGGGAATGTAGTGGGGGAAGCCCCGTTCTGCTAGCAGGAGCCTTCGCACTGGCTCCCACTTGTGGAACTCCTTAGTTGCATGTGGCTCATTGTACTCTGAATGCACGTTTGCTTGTTTTTAATAGTGACTTGTGAGCACTGGGACTGCAGGGAGGGGCATGGTTTAACCTGGCCTTCCCCTATCTTGGGTCCCCATATGTTGTTGAACTACAACTCCCATCATCCCTGCCCATGCATGAGCAGGGATGATGGGAGCTGTAGTCCAACCCCAACCCTTCCCTTGCTATGGTTCTGATGTAAATCTCCCCTCAAGCTGCTACGTTGAACTAATGGCAGCACCAATGGGAGCTTCCTTTCTGATGCAAATAGCAGCTGGAGAAGTTGTTCACCAGGACCATGGCAGCAGGAAAATAATTAAACTCTCCCTGTCTACCTTCTGTGGTCCCTATGGTGCTCAGGTTTCCCCACAGCTGCTAGTAACATTTTTAAACACACACACACACACAAAATCTATCATAATATTTTGTGTGTGGCCTTACTACATTTGTTGTAATATGTGGTATCACTAATAGTGTCAAAGATGAGGCATAATAGATAATAAGCACTCTAGAAACTAAGGAAGGAATGGCGCCAGGAAACAGAACAGCAGAGAAAGCTGTTTTCTGACAGTAAATGCCTTTATACTGTCAGCAGGCACGTACGCATCCAAGCATTTATCTGCAAATGGGAGAGAGGGAGGAAAAGAAAGAAGGAGCCCAGATTTTGCAAAAGCACAACATGCTATGCTACCATATCTATTACATTCTGTGTTTAGACAAGTTATTACCATTAAAAGCAGGATTTGTGTGAAGGAGGGAAGAATCCCAGAACTGGAGATGTCTAGATCATGATGTCCTAACTTAGGCTTCTTAACCATGCATAAATGGGATTTACAGTGTCTCTATGCATCATTGATGCAATGGCTGCCCTGGAAATTAAGACTCAGCTTTATATTCCAGGGAGCATCTCACTCAGTGTGAGACTGTGACATCTAGTTCTCTGTTTACCCCTAAGGCTGGTATGGCATTAACTTCAAGTTCTGACAATGGAAAGAAAGAAGGGGGGGCGGGGAGAGAGAGAAGGAAGTGGCGAGGAGAGAGAGAAGGCAGGAAGACAGGCAAGAAAGAAAGAAAGAAAGAAAGAAAGAAAGAAAGAGAAAAGCTGAGCAACGGCTTAACAGTTGTGCAGCATGAATCAAAGGCCGTGGGGGAAGAGAGTTAGGAATTCAGTTGTGCCTCTGTTGCCCAGATAACTCCTGCAAGTTTAGAGCCAAGTGATGCTCTTAGTGTTCCTATTCAGCCCTCTCACACAACCCTCCTGAGATGCTTTTCTTGCTTTCCTTGCCGTCCTGCTTACAAATTCTGGCTCTTCAGTTCTTCTGGTTTAATAGACAATGGTTTTCTTAAATGACCAGTTCCTAAATTTCCCCCCTCCTAACTTCTTCCTGAATTTATCTAAAATGTGACATCCATTTTAAACAATATGTTTATTACAGCTTCATTGAGTGCCTAATTGTATTTTGATCTGAAGCTACCAATTATAACTGAATTAAACTTATAAGGATGAGCCATACGTTATAAAGCCAAGTCAGCTGAACATCAAGTCAACAGGGTGCAGTGAGGGTCTGCATGGGGAGCGTCTCAATAGTGAAGGACTTCCATAGGAACCACTGAAAAATCTGTGTGTGTGTGTGTGTGTCTGCCATCCACACCAAACATGTCCGAGAGTTACATTATGCATATAAATGGGTGCCTGCAGTGGGGGCTTTGTGTTTCCTGCTTTAAACAGTGGCTCTTCTGTGATGCATTTGAGAACCAGGGCCGTCTTAAGCATATCCGACACTGTGGTGCAAAGCTCCCTCCGGCGCCCCCCCCCCCCGGTTTCTCAGAGTTTTTTAGGGAGGACGACACTGCTGGTGGATCTGGAGGAGGCAGGCAGTGGCTGGAGGGTGGCTCCTCCGATGGGGAAGAGCTGGAGGCTGGATGTGGCACCTCCCGGCTCAGCTGGCCACTTCGTGCCACGGTGGCCACGGCAGACGGAGGCTCTGGGCGCGGTGCTGCTTTGGCGCGGCATGGCGGCAAGCTGATGCCAGGAGGTGCCACGTCCAGCCTTCGCCTCTTCTCTAGCGCCCTCCAGAACTTGGCGCCCTGGTGCCTTGTGCCACTAGCCTCTATGGGTAAGACGCCCCTGTTGAGAACTGTCTGAGATAGTCACCAAGTTTCAGCAGCAACTCTCTAATTCTGAACAAACGAAGTACCCAAACCCTGAAACCTTTGGACTAGAGCTAAAACAAAAGGTCTTTAAAGCATTGAATGTGCAGACGAGGGAGACTGGGGTGGGTGGGTGGGTGGGTTACTTGGCGTGAGCGTAGCCGGGGTGTGTGCAGGTGAGGGCAGCTGCCTCCCCTAAATCAAGTAAATAAATAAAAATACTTAACTAAATGACCAATTGCGTCACAGATAACTTAGTTCTGCCCCACCCAACATAATGCTTGCTATGCCCTTGTTTCTTGGCTATTTTTTCCTCTTCCTTACTGACAGAGGAGAGAGATTTGGGCCTCATAGGCACACATTTATTTTACTACATTAGAAATGCTTCGGCTTCTTTTCCTGCCCTGTGGAATGAGCGAGCCCATGACAGACCTCATGAAGATCGAAAGATTGAAACCTCCTGCAAAGCTGTTACATAACATCTCCCTTCTCCCTTCTGCAGAGAGGCAGGGCCAGCCAGCCTCCCACCTCTGCAGCAGTGGTATGTAAAATTACCTGATAGAGAGGCGTGCAGATGCTATCAATCCACTCCAGCTGCAATCGAGGCAGTTCATCTTTCCTGTTCCGATCAAAAATAGCCTGAATTGAAAGAGCGGGAGGGAATGAGAGGTTGAAAGTGGAGGGATATGTCATGCTTTATTACTCTGCAGTATTTTACAGATGTTGCTTCATATCCCAACGCTTTGGATCCAGGATCAAATTGGTACAAACTGAATGCTTTTGAAAACCATAATCAATCTTTATGCACACTTTCCTATCTTTTGTCTACGATGGAAAGCAAACCATTTATTCTCCGGCCCTGTTTACAGCATATGTAAGTTTAATTTATTTGACTGTTATACCATGTAATTCCTTAACATCAAACAAATCTACCGTATTGTTGGCAGCATTCATGTTGCAGGTGGAAGAGAGGAGGAGGAGGAGGGCAATGATAAAGACATGCAACTGCCCCTGACTTCTCTTCATTCTTTTGAGAGGAAGATGTGCCGTGCAAGTCTATACATGTCACTGAATTCAAGGGGCCTTGCTTCCAGTTAGAGACGGGGGAGAAATTCTGTTTGGTTCACTACCTAATTCACACTTTCTGGAATACTACACAGCTATCCTTTGCAATTCACACTCCTCCAAATTTTGCGGTGCACTTTTCCAGGCAAAAAGAGCATTTATTATGGCAAATGGTGCGTTAAAATGCACGTAAATAGCGAAAAGAACATGAAAATATCCATTTTATTATGGGAAATGGCATGCAAAAATCTGTATATTAGGAAAAAATGCTGATGAATTTTCATTAGGACTTAAAAAAAAGGCAAAGGAGATCTAAACTTAAAGATTGGAAAAATGAGAAACCGAGAGAAACTGAAATTGAGAGAGAGGTCCATCAGTACTCCCAGGTAAGTGGGTTTAGGACGGAAGCTTCAGTGAATGATCAGCATGGACTGCATTTCTTGGGAAATGTGTTGTTATGGAACAGAGAATCTATTTAGAAAACAAACTATTTCCTCTTTCTTTGTTTTGTTCATTGGGAATGTTTCTTCTGGGCCCAGGCCTTCTGGGTGAGTGTAGAAAAATCAGCAGCAAAGGCCAAATTGGAAATAATGAGCAGGAGGGCTATAGCTTATTTAGTGTTCTTTGTTTTTCATTCCTATTAATGTAGTTTTATATGTAATTTGTCCTGCACTTAGCCACAGCTGAGAGATGCATCATACTTACTACATGTTCTCTTCCTGTCATTGTTACCACTATCAGTAATATTTATTATTTATAAACCACTTCAAAGTTTTAGGCACTATAGAAAAAACAAACAACTAAGACATGCCCTGTTTGCAGGCTTATAGACTAATGAGAAAAACACCCAGTCAACCCCCCCCCCAAATAACTTGAAATGGGCTGATAATTTTTTGTAAGGGACCCCATTTATTATGCAGCTCAACTCGGCTTTCTCTCAAGACCCAAGCAAATTATTAATTAATCAATGAATCAAATTATAATATTCCCTAGGAGCCCAGGGTGGCCAAAACAAAGCAAAGGGCTCCCTGTCCTGTGAGGATAGCAACTCACTCCTCCCTTTGGTGTGCACACCAACTCTTCAATTCCATTTGCTTTTGTCTTGATTTGCACATGGGAATCACCAGTTCAGGTGCAGTACAGAAGACCTTGGATGTGGCCTCTGTTACTGTTCATCCTATTGGAAGAGCCACTGCCTTATGTCTTGGCACCAGTGTCAACAATCTACAGAACTCAGTGGCAAAACACATTCTAGCAGAGGTGGCACATCTTGTCTTGCCACTTGAGGCAAAACAGGAAGTGCTGCCCAGCCCTTCAGCTTGCCTGCATTGCCCAGCCTGTCGCCTCCGCTGCCCATTTCAGGAGAGATTTCGGGTGAGATCTTGGCCAAAACTGCCAAGATCTCGGTTGAAATTGGCACCAATGCTGGCAGGGCACCACAGGGTGACATCTCGGGGGTTTTTGCTGCCTGAGGCAGTGGCCTCACCCTGTCTAATAGCTGTGCCGGCCCTGCTTCCTGGACTGGACCTACTCCAGATGGCAAGTGGGGCTGCATCTGTCAATGTTTTTTCACTGGAAACTCCTCCCTGTTATAGTACATGTCAAAGAGAAGAGTGAACCAGGTGTGAATCAGTGGGCTAATAATGTTGGTCATTTTAGTCAATGATCAGTTCAAAATAGGCTACTTGTGGGGAAAACAAGAGTTGCTGGCCAACACTCTATTATTATACCTTTGCATGTTGAAGAAGTGTTCATTTCAGGAAAGATGCACCACATAAAAACGGACAAAAAAAATCAAGTCAACCTTGAAATTGTGCTTGCTTGTAGAAATATCTCTGGTTATTTCTGGTTCAACTTCTGTGCCTTAGGAGGTTGGACTCATTGATGTCAAATGAATTCACAAGATAAAACTGAGGACTAAATAAATTTATATTGCCTGGAAATGTAGTCTAATCTGTTCTTACCTTTTTCAGTTATCCATTTGTATTTTTATGGAAACCAGGTAGGTGCTACTTGACAAAATAACTATTTTCTTTCTTTTTAAAAACAACTAGTGTTTTGTTATTCAAGAATACAGTAAGCACAATCAGGGTCCCTATTTTTGTTTTTGTTTTAAAGAGTTTAGTTCCTTTGTGGACTTTTTTTTACACTTTGTGGTTTTAATTGTTATATACCGTATATACTCGAGTATAAGCCAACCTTTTCAGCACATTTTTTATGCTGAAAAAGCCCCCCTCAGCTTATACCCGAGTGAGGCGGGCGGCGGCGGGACAAGCAGCCAAAAAGGAGCCCTTTCTCGCCGCTGGTCCCGTCACCACCCGCCTCCCGCCTGGGCAGTCACAGGAGTCGCAGTTGGGAGAGGCGCTGCACTACGCTGTGCCTCTCCCAACCGCGGCTCCTATGCCTGCTCTTGCAAGCTGCAGAGGCGGCGGCAGAGGGACGAGCGGCTCCTTCCTCCTCCACCACCTTTGCCGCTGTCGGCGGCGGCAGAGGAGGAACGAGCAGCCCGAAAGCAGCCCTTTTGGGCTGCTTGTTCTTCCTCTGCTGCCACCACCAGGTTTGTGGTGTGGTGAACGGGCTTATATTCGAGTCAATAAGTTTTCCCAGTTTTTTGTGCTAAAATTAGGTGCCTCGGCTTATACTCAAGTATACATGGTACTTGTGTGTCTTTTCACATTTGTATTTTAACATCTACATTCTTTAAAAAAAACAACAGCAACACAGCAACAAAAACAAATCTCTTACAGTATGTTCTCATTTTTACAATGAACTCTAAAATGAGTGGTGAACTTACAGAAGGAGTGAGTTTGAGCTCAGATCTCTCTCTGTCTCCTTGTTCAAAGAACTCGCTTGTTACCAGTTCGGCAACCTAAAACAAATAGCAAATAATCAGTTAGGATTCATAGTATTTGTTAACAAATTTCCTGACTGAAACCCTGATTAACGAGCAGAAGAACACGCCCAATTTTAAATATATGGTCGCCTGCAGTCTTTGCTGACTCAGAGCTGAAGTATTTGAATACAGTGGTACTTTGGTTGACGAACAAATCGGCTCCCGGATGCAACTGTTTCGGTTTGCAAACATTTTTCGGAAGCTGAACATCCGACACGGCTTCCGCTTAAGTGCAGGAAGCTCCTGCAGCCAATTAGAAGCTGCGCCTTGCTTTTCGAATGGTTTCAGGCATCTGATGGACTTCCAGAACAGATTAAGTTTGAGAATCAAGGTACCACTGTAGTGTAAAAGCTACTCATTACTAACCAGTAAGTACCAACAGAATAGGCACCCAAATAATTTCAAGGTTGTTGGGATTATATACCAGGTACAGAAGTTTTGGGTGGAACTGGCACACCCATGTACCAGCGAAATCTGGCTGTTAACTCTGACTTCTCTGCTTGTTGCTTCAACTCTGTACAGTTCTGATCCATTTAACTTCTGAAATACAGGTGTCACTTCTGTCTTCTGCTCTGAACCGCTTAACACTACAATTTGCATGGACTTAATGGATTGGAGCTAGCCTTCTTTAACTTCATTTGGAGAATGAGAATTTAAATGGGAATGCAAAAGTTGGCACTACTTACAGGTGCCCCACAATACCCGTTCTGCATTTGTAAGAACCTGACTGTGTGGCAGCACCTGAACTTGGGAACTCCCTGCCCATTGAGATCAAGCAGGCACTTTCACTGTACAGTGGTACCTTCGGGTTAAGAACTTAATTCGTTCTGGAGGTCCGTTCTTAACCTGAAACTGTTCTTAACCTGAAGCACCACTTTAGCTAATGGGGCCTCCCGCCGTGCAATTTCTGTTCTCATCCTGAAGCAAAGTTCTTAACCCGAGGTACTATTTCTGGGTTAGCGGAGTCTGTAACCTGAAGCGTCTGTAACCTGAAGCATCTGTAACCCAAGGTACCACTGTACTCTTTTTGGTGCCTGCTAAAAACGTTAAGACAAGCCTACCCAGGTGCTTAGAAAGTTGAGGCAATTTTAATCTGTTTTAGATTTGAACTTTTGTAGGTTTTAAAGAATGGTTGTGGATTTCTTGATTTTATTTTATCTTTTTGTAAACCGCTTTGAGGTTTGTCTGTTTGTTTACAATCAAGCCGTGTATAAATTTTATGGAATAAAATAAATAAATGGCACCAAGCTCAAACTGGACAAATAAATGTCGTTTTGAAAACATGTGTTGATAACCTGGCAGCGGCGGAATATAAGCTTAGCCACTGAACTCAAAACTAAGTGTTTCCTTTTTATACCACTGCCATGTGATGTGTGCATGGAGTCACTTCAAAGATAAGCCCCTCGTGAAACTTTTTTTTCGGGGGGGGGGATGTTTTGGGGGAATCATAGCTCAGTGGGAAAGCATGTTCTTTCCACGCAAAAGTACCCAGATTCAACCCCCAGCCTCTTCAGGCAGAACTAGTTAAAACTGCTCTCTGAAATCCCGGAAAGCTGTTGCCAGTCAGAGCAGGCAATACTGAGGGTTGGTCCAGAGGTATAAGGCAGCTTCCAACGTTTCCATGCTGCCGCCAGACAGCTGCTTTGGAAGGATACTGAGACAAACCATAACACCAGCCTTGAAAGACCTACATTGGCTCCCAGTATGTTTCCGAGCACAATTCAAAGTGTTGGTGTTGACCTTTAAAGCCCTAAACGGCCTTGGCCCAGTATACCTGTAGGAGCGTCTCCACCCCCATCGTTCTGCCCGGACGCTGAGGTCCAGCGCCGAGGGCCTTCTGGCGGTTCCCTCACTGCGAGAAGCCAAGTTACAGGCAACCAGGCAGAGGGCCTTCTCGGTAGTGGCGCCTGCCCTGTGGAACGCCCTCCCATCAGATTTCAAAGACAACAACAACTATCTGACATTTAGAAGACATCTTAAGGCAGCCCTGTTCAGGGAAGATTTTAATGTGTGACATCTCAGTGTATTTTTGGTCTTTGTGGAAGCCGCCCAGAGTGGCTGGGGAAACCTAGCCAGATGGGCAGGGTACAAATAATAAATTATTATTATTATTATTATTATAGGAAGGTCTGGCTCACATGGAGACCTCGTGGCCCACAACAAAGTGTCATTGTTCAAGGGAAGCACCATGCAGTGGTACTTGTAGATTTAAGCTCCTTTTGCATGGCAGCCACATTGTGAGAGGTAACCTGTAAAACAGCTTCGTTTAAATAAAATAAATGTAGCCAGTATTTATTTATATATATATATATATATCCTACTTCAGAGTCAGCTGCATATATCTTGGTTGTACATGAACATCTAATTATAAGAAGAGATTAAGAATGTTTCGACACTTTTGTAATGTTTTATCTACTTCATTGATTTAATTTGCCTTCAGAAAGGGTTAGGTTATAAATCTAATTGAAATAAAGCTAAGGATACATATGAGTAACTTCTGGAAATATGCAATGTTCTTCTGCAAAGTTAATCCTAATTGGATTTTCAGGTTGTGTTTCTACAACAATATGCTTTTAAAGAAACAAAAAACAAAACCCGAATGTAGTATCGTTTTACAAATAATCCAGGGATGCAGACAGCAAGGGACGCTGGTATAAACAGGCCCCTTGGCTATCGATGTTCTCTCTGTTGCTAATGTGTGACTACACAATTGCACACTATGTGTTGAAAATTGTACTGGAGATCATATACTATCTGAAATGACAAGTAGCATAATTTAATGGTTTTCTAGCTCATACGATCAGTACTATCCGAAGCCATCATCCTAGGGAGAACACATTGCCTAATGGTCAGCATTCAGGTTCTTCCTCCTTGCCAGGTGTCCCCCCCCCCCTTTTTCCAACATGTGGGCTGAGTACATACACCGTACATTTAAATCACATTTCTGGAAACTGTATTTTATCCCTTAGGTAAAGGTAAAGGGACCCCTGACCGTTAGGTCCAGTCGCGAACGACTCTGGGGTTGCGGCGCTCATCTCGCTTTATCGGCCGAGGGAGCCGGCATACAGCTTCCGGGTCATGTGGCCAGCATGACTAAGCCGCTTCTGGCGAACCAGAGCAGTGCACGGAAACACTGTTTACCTTCCTGCCAGAGAGGTACCTATTTATCTACTTGCACTTTGACGTGCTTTCGAACTGCTAGGTGGGCAGGAGCAGGGACTGAACAACGGGAGCTCACCCTGTCGTGGGGATTCGAACCGCCGACCTTCTGATCGTCAAGCCCTAGGCTCAGTGGTTTAGACCACAGCGCCACCCGCATCCCTCTAGTTTATCCCTTACAGAGCTACAATTCCCAGCACAAAGTACAGTTCTCAGGGTTCTCAGGGTGCTTTGAATGTATAACATGTATGGAGTTAAAAGAATGCCAAGGTTAATGAGAAATGAAATACAGTAAATACAATCCTGGAAAATGGGTGTTTAAAAATGGGTTCTTTTTCAAAGACATTGGGTATTATTCAATTAAGTTTTACTAATAATCAACGCACTGAAATTAATGCACATGACTACAGTAAGTTAGGTCAATTAATTGCAATGGCTGTACTCTGAGTTAAATGTCACTCAGTGCTATATTCTGGAGAGAGAGAACACGACACTCCTGGGCAGGCAGTAGGTATTTCTCCTCTGTGATATCAACCATTTGACATTATTATCAATTAGCTATATATCAATGAGGATTTTAGATGGCATGGATTAAATTACAAGTCTCTTTTAGAGTTGGAAGCTAATCAAATTACAAAGAGGAGTGAGGAGATGCCCTGCAAATGAATACATGGAACCTTTTACAAACGTTTGCTCAGGCCCAAATGTTTGTTTTAAATCTATTTTTATATTTAAAAATATAAAAAATATTGCCAACTGTGTGTAAAGCTTTCTAGGTATCTATTCCCCCAAACAGTCCACACTTTTGAAGATCTCCTCCAATGATCCATACTTAGCATTTTGCCTTCAACATTTTGTGGTAAGAAGGTGGTTCAGGATCTGTGGAACAAAATAGGAAGACGTTCCCTCTTACATTCCTGTGATTTTATATGCAGTGGAAGAGTTAATCTTGTGGCTCTGATGATGGAATCAGAGGTGTTCTTCAGACACCTTAGAAAGACTCAGTGCTATCAAATAAACATGAACAACGAAAGCATTGGGCAACAGAACCATGCCCAGCAGAAAATCTGTGTTATTTTAAAACACAGCAACACTGCTGCAAATTGATTGCATATTTGGCCCCTTCTATGTCAGGTTCCTGGGAAAACAGTTGCATCAGTACCTCCTCTTCCTTGCCCTGCTATTAATCATGACTTGCCTGTCTTGAAATCTCCCACGGTTTGGTCGCAGCTCCAAGGTCACAGGCTGTCATTAGCATTGATCTGAAAAACAGAAATGAACAATACAAGCTGAACAAACCTTTTGTTGCTTTCCTAAACAAATGCACCTCGGCTACATAACTTGTTTTAAACAGTCAGAATTAGCAACTTCTTCCTTTAGAGAAGGGACGGCACAGCTCTGAATCTCAACAGTCAGCGCCGTTTTTAATGCCATTAGATATAGCAGAGCTAATGCATTATAGATCATCAGATAATGAATTTTCAATGCTATCCATTGAGTGCTACAAAAGAAACATGTATCACCACGGACTAACTACTAATTTTGCTGCACTTTGACTAATAAAGTAATATTTATAATATACAGGGCAGCTGGGGTTCTGCCATGATGTAAGAAAAGGAGTTATTACACAATAAATACAGATTGGGCTAATCTATTTGCCTACTTATAAGTGACTACTGTGGTAAGAGAAAAGCTATAACCATGAGAGGCATTCCAGACACTGTTTAAGCAGTTTCTACGGTTCATCTGCAATAAAAACCCCAAGATTTACAGTAAGGACTACACTGTTTCACTGTAGTTTAATACCTGGCTACAATTATGTTTTATAAGTGTTGGGAGAAAGAAACTATTCAGCTGGAGAAAGCATTTATGTACAGTACATGATGCAGATAAAACTAGGAGGAAGCTCAGATGAAGAACAAGGACAGTGGAAATAAAAGAAGTGGCATATATACTGCCCCGGCTCTAAAATTGGGAATGAGTGAAATGATATGGAAAAACAGGAAATGACCCATGCCTGTGCTAAAACACAAGGATCATTCCCATCACATGAATAGCTCCATTCATAAACGGCATGTGTGCATACAGGAGAAAGCTCACGGGATGTTTCTTTGCTCTTTCACAAAAGTTTCTTGGTGGATGTAGAGGTTGTGGTGAACTGTGCAAGGACGCCCTTGGGAGTGGTGGGTCTGATGGGGCGGATGTAGGGAGGAGAGATGTGTGCATGGTGGGGGGGGGCATGTGTGTGCACCAGGCATTGTGGGTAGCACAAGACCTGCCTGACACAACAGCTACATAACGCCACTGGAGAACATCAGGGCTGTCCTTTCAGCTATACAGTGGTACTTCTGGTTGCGGATGGGATCCGTTCCAGAGCTAGGGTCGGATCCCGAGGTTTCCGCAACTGGAGGGACCGCTTCTGCACATGCGCACGTGGCGGTGGAGCGCTTCTGCACATGTGGCAAAACCCAGAAAAATACTTTTGCCGCATATGTATCCTGAAGGATACATAACTGGAGGTAAACGTTAAGTTGAGGTACCACTGTACAAAGGACTAAGGACTTGAGACACACACACACACACACACACACACAGAGAGAGAGAGAGAGAGAGAGAGAGAGAGAGAGAGAGAGAGATATGAATGAAAGAGGAAATGGGTGGTCCACTCGCTGATGCCCCTGGCAGTGCTCATTTCTGGCTTCATCCCTCCCCAGTACCCCGGAGTACCCTCTACTAAAAAAACCCAGGTTGCCCACCTGCAGCTTAGCTAAATGTTAATTGCTAATACCTGTAACAAAAGAGCTGCTTTGAATGGCAGCAATTTTAGGCAACAACTAGATGGGCACGGAAGGAATGCTTAACTCATCTGCCTCCCACCCCCCTTTTTACTGCAGCTCCCCACCTATGCCACTGCCCCCCCCATGGAGTGCAGCTTTGTGAAGGTAAAGAATGTGTCTAGCTAGAATGCTATGGGGGTGGAATGAGAGGGAACCACAGCAGAAAAACAAGGGGCGGGAAAAGATGAAAGTGCCCACTCTACTCTGCTGCTGGAAAGGGGCAAATTGGCAGATCCTGGTTTCTCTCAGTTTCTCATTTTTCCAATCTTCATTTTAACACCATTTTGATTTTTGATTTTTTTAAAGTCTTCATGACTTTACCAGCATTTTAGTGAGAATGTATCTTAATATAACGTTTTACTGTAACTTTCCCTAATATAATGCAGTTTTGCAATGCCATTTTCCCCTAACACAACACATTTTAATGTATTATTTTCACCAATATATGCATTTATGGACACTTAGCATATGAATTTAGCACCCATTACTTGGGCTGCATTACTTGTGTTGCAAAATTCACCGATGTGCGAATTTTCAAGGATAGCTGTGATTCGGTTTGCATACTGCTTCAAGACGTACACATTTCTGTAAATGTCTCTTTAAAGGTGAAATGAAATGAATTTCTCCTGCTGCTACTCAACTTAAAAAGCTGTCACCCTGAAGCAGCTTTTCTGCAACAAAAATGGCCACGCAACAACATCTTGGTCAGACCCTAGTATGATTTCCAAGAGCTTGTTAATGTTATGCTGCTATATGCTATATATATTCATAATGTTCTGGTTACTCGTCCCAGGGTAAGTCTGTCGTGTGACATAGTCATTCTATGGGCTGAGGAATGCATCATGTTTACCAGGGAGAATCATTCTACAACAGACAGTAAATAGCTGGATTTTCCTTGACTTTTGAATGGGAGAAACCAAACAGCATGCAAGGTAAGTGGCAGACCTCCCCTGCTCCAGCTAAGGATCTTATAAACGTGAGAGCGGTGTGTGAGAGGGAACAATAGAAGTAGGTTTTGCCACAGTGACGACAGATAAATTGCAGCCTGAGATGGAGAGTAGGTATGCTTCAAGCTAAAAAAAAGAAGAAACTGTGGTTGTCGGTTTCCTTACTGGGCATCTGACACAAGGCAGTAGATTTGCTGCCTTTAGAGTTGCTATGCTTTCTGCTGCTACCTATATCCGATTTGTATATTCGTAAATAAACCCAAATATTACAAAAACGTCACAAGCCTGCTGTCATCTATCCTTCCAAAGGAAACCAAAGCTGGGTAGGCACAGTCCCCAGAAAATCTAATCTCTCAGAGGAGGAAAGCATAACAGTACTTGTACAAAAATTGTGTACCACAGTAATCATGGAAATCATATTAAGAGTCTCCACACTCTTGCCCAGAGCCGCTAGGGACATCTGGCAGAGGTTAAAGACTCAGTGTGATGACAGCAATCTCCATGGTGATTTAAGCATTACATCCAGGCGAGGGATCGCTAGTCTTGGAGAGACCCTTTTGGCCAATAGCTGTGCAGATCCCAAGCCAGGAAGCCGTGTTGGTGGCCACTCTAAACAGCGTCGCTGGCTAGCTCTGAACTTCCAGATGCCTGCAAAGAATATGGTCCTCGGTTGCTGCGGATAGTCTAGTTTCCCACAACAATCTTGTTAAACAAATGTGCTGCATACCCAACCCAGAGGCCTCACTTACCGAAATATCTCCCGCTGGCTCTTAACATTCCAGTTGTAGTCACCTTTGTTGACAAGTTCAAAAAACTCAGTCCTCCTCCTACAACAAAATGTATCAGTGGAAGGAAACAAGAACATTTATAAGACGTTGTTGTAATGCTTTCAATGGAATTTTGTGTGAGAACACAGTGCTTCCCAAACCAGTAAGGTTCTTCAGAAACCACTGAACTGGCCCTCTCCTTTTACTCCCATCAGTACAGGTAGCAAAAGACCTGGGGAAAAGCTTTCTTCTGCTCCAGCATAGTAAAAAAATTGTAGTCATACAGCTTAGTTCTCAAACGTTTTGACTCCCAAATGCCACAAACCTGGAAGTGACTGTTCCGGTTTGCGTACTATTTTTGGAAGCCGATCGTCCGATGGGGCTTCCGATTGGCTGCAGAAGCTTCTTGCAGCAAATCAGAAGCCGCACTTTGGTTTCCAAACGTTTTGGAAGTCAAACTGACTTCTGGAACGGATTCCGTTTGACTTCCAACGTAAAACTGTAGTTGCAGGATGAGGTCTTACAGCAGTTCATCAATTTCATAGTCTCCTGATTGTACACTAGCAACAAGGATATAATTATGGAATATTATTACTCTGAAGAGTGAAATATTTAATAAATGTTCATGTTTTAGAAATATATGAAGTTGCCCAACTTGCCAAAGTGATATAATCTTCCCTGGCCCTTAGTCAAGTGCTATACAATCACAGATAATCAGAGCCCTGCCCAGCTATAAATCTCACTGAATGGTGTTGGGCCAGTCATTAGCTCTCAACCTAACCTCCCCACAGGGTTGATGAGGAAAAAACAGCATAGCCCTATGTGTCTCTCTCTCGCTGAGCTTCTTGGATAGAGGGTGGAATACAAAAGAAATGATAAATAAGTATATAATTATGAAATTTCTTGGCATGTGACTTTCTTTTTCACACCAAAGTGCCTTAAAACATTCGGTGGCAGGTTTTGTAACTGTTTTTATAATTTGTGGCTAGGAAAACCAATCTCTAATGCAGAGATTTTATATTTCCATGAAGAAACACAAACTTTGAGTGAATATATGTTTTTGTATACAAACAATGCCTATAGAAACCAAAATGCAGAGACTTTCCTATGAAATGCAATGAGAATATCATATTGATGAAAAAAAAGTCAGTTCACAATAGAGCTATATAACCAAAAGCAGCCAAGAGGGTATTAAAAGTAATTTAAACTTTGGAAGAAGATATGTAGCTTGCAATGTAAATCCTCTGCATTATTTGATGCGAACTCTGCAGCTTGCATTGAGACTCACCACACAATACAGAGGATTCGCATGGTAAATATTACATGTTGCAGCCGTTACTTGTATTCTTGGAAGCCTTGACATTGGGGCAGTATCATATCAACCAGCTCTCAGGCTTCCTCAGCTAAAGGCAGATGACCTGAGAAGCACAAGGAAAGTTTGCTTATTTAGTTTCTTGCATTTTTATATCTCACCTTTGTTCCATCATGGAACCCAAGGCAGACACCCATTCAAGGGTTAATCCAAACCTGCTTAGCTTTGGGGTAGCCTCATGTACCTTCCGACCATACCCTGGGACCAGTTCTATCATAGTGACTGGAATCAACGGAATGACTTTGGGACATCACAATGGGTTAAGCCATGTAACTTACTGAAAGACAGTATACAGACAGGATCTGAAATCTTGATATTCCATTAACTGTACTTGACATAGGGTCTTTTCACATTTGGAATAGTTTGGCTGCCACTATCCCATGCTGCTCACAATTATGACTACAATTTCCACCCTTAAGTCTATAATGGTGGTTATATATACCAAAATGGGGTTGGTGCCACCAGTATGGTCCATTACAAAAGGCAAATGACCTTCTAAGGTCAATCATTAAAAGGAGACAAAAGAACAATCTGTGTTTTTTTAAAAAATGATCGAACTTTCTGTTTATTTAATATAGTCTGCTAATGAAGACTCAAGTAATTTTTTTTTTCCTTGCACGTTTTGCTTTGTACATCCTATCAAAAGTTCATCCTGTTCATTTCTCTCATGCAGATTCATGGCATGATGGTCTAACAGCCCCTCTGGGAATGAGTACTGCAGTGATGACAATTTTAACAGCCCAGACTAGCTGGGCACATAGGCTTTAAATCAATCTTATCCGTAGCTGTTCCCATGCAACGCCGCATTGCGTCAGCGCTGCACAAGGTGTTTTTGAGAGTGGCTCCTTGTTTTATTTAACTAAGAAGAAGGCGGCTGCAACTTAAAACACATTTTTCTCCTTCCTGAGAAAACAAGTAACACATTTGAAAATCCAATTTCCCTCCTTGTTCAGAATCCCTTGAGCAATGTGTAACAAATTAAAAGAGTAAATAAGATCTTCAGCTGCGATCAAAACATGACCTTCCTGCACCCATCTTAAACAACTCGTTTTTTAACATCATAAAGGTAAGACAGGTTTCACAAGCTCTAGCTTTAGCTAGGAGTGTGGCAGAACACTTGATGCCTTTGTAGCACCTTTCTTGCGCCCAAATGTCAAAGAAACGAATGAAGAAAACCATCAAAGGGGGATTTTAGTATTGCGGCAGCTGGGCTCCTGAATTAGATGCACCACTCACCGCTGGGCACATCCAGATTTATTCATTTCAACTATTTATATACTGCTCGACACCTTAGTCTCCAAGCAGTGCACAGTAAGGTTAAAAAGATAACACTAAAGTTAAAATCAGTTAAAATGAAACTTACTTGAAAATGCCTGCTGAAATAAATAAATAAATATAATAATAATAATAATAATAATAATAATAATAATAATAATAATAGCTCTTCACTAGGTGCCGGAAGTTCAACAGATCATCCTGCTTCCCACAGAGAGTGACCACCAAGCAGATGCCTCCAGAAAGCCCCCAAACAGGGTTTGTAGGGAAATTACCCTTTGCCACTGTCGGCTCTCTAGGAGCTGATAATCAGTGCCACGGCATCTCTGAATCAGGGTTAGAAGCTCAGATCTATTAAGCTCGGCACCAAACGGCTCCTTGAACCAGGATTACAGTCACCAAAACAAAATGCCTAGCTGCCATTTTTGGGCCAGGTGACTCAAAAGTCACATTTTTCAATACCACTTTTTGGTTCCTGAAATTCATTCCACTTGTGCAGATAAAATATATAACGGATAGAATTCTACAGGATGTGTTGCTAGTGTGTGAAAACAGTCAAGATCCAAGGATCCCCAAGGCACGCACCTCCAGATGGTGGAGAAGTCAGGTGCCATTCTGGCACCTAGGCACCTTCACTTGGTCACAAGTGGCCAACAGCCAGGTGCAAAATGCACCTGGAGAATTTTCAAACGCTGCTCTGAATATGGGGGATTCGTTTAGCTGACGTGCCTAATAGCTTGCCAATAGACCTGCCCTTGAATTTGTCTAATACCCCCCTTTTTAAAGTCATCTAAACTTGTGGCCATCACTAAGCCTGATTTACACCACATGAACATCACCTCGCAGCCCCCAGCTACAGCTGCTAGTTCTGTTTCTTTTCCTGTGTCTTTTAACAACATGCACAGCAGGCCAAAGTTCAGCAGCTGAACGTTTTCTCAGCAAGGAGATATTGTACTGGGAAAAGCTTCACCCAGGCCCAGTATCAGTATGTAACATCCTTGAACAGCCGCTGCTGACATCTGCCCTGTGCCCTCCCTTACATTTTTCTGCTGGCAGGCAGGTCTGCAATCGGTGCCAGATACCACCATTTGCATTCCCCACAATGCCCCTCACAGCATGGTGCTGCCTTGAGCTGATTTAGCTTCTGCCATTTTCCCTGCTACCAACGCCCTCAGACCTGAAACTACCAATATAAATATACAAGAGCACCGCCATCCCCCCCCCAAACCAGTAATCAAGCCTGCTAGCAACTGAATCTCTTAACCGTTTATCTGTTGAAAAAGTAGATGTCAGGAGATATGCAAGTTCTGTAGTATTTGATCTGTGGTGGCAGTTTCACCCATACATTGCATGAGGAGCATGTAGGTCTTGCCCTCAAAGCAACATTCCTACTAAGGGTACTTTGTTGTCTACCTACAGGAGCGTAAGACTAAATCCATTTATTCCAATGTGTTTACTCCAAGTATGACTAATGTTGGGTATCACTCAATTTTATGTTTGAACAAAATCACATCCAGTGAGACCACACATTCTTCTGATCCAGGGATGTGACTCTGTTCAAACACTTTGGCCGATATCCAACCTGATATCACACCTGCAGTGCAATCAAGGAACTTATACCCATTCATTTTAGTGGATCTACTCTGCCTATGACTTAGCTGGATATGGCCCACTGATGCCAATCTACAAATTCAGATTAAAAAAAATCCTGTGGGATTGGTTCTATTCTTAGAGTAGACCCACTGAAATCAATGGGACTTAAATTGAGTAACGGTTAACTTGGGTCCCATTTATTTCAGTGGGTACACTCTAAACATGCGTTACGGCTTTTATGGAGCTGTGCAACTTCATTACAGAGATGGGAAGTTACAAACTTAGAAGATCCCCAATTAAAAAAGCAAAAAACAAACCCACATGGAAAAGAGAAAGGAGAAAACCCAGCTGCCACCAATGCAATTCTTCCATAAACAATGAAGTGGTTTTGTTTTAACTTTATAAATTAAGTATATTGTACATTTAAACAACAGAAAACAGTTGCACAACATACTGAAAACTTTCAGAAGACTAAAATGCACAAGCGCTAGAGTAAATACCTCAAATGATAATTAAATAGTAACTGCTGGTAATATGTGCCACATGCCCTCACTGGTATTTAAAAGGTCGTTAGGGACTGTAGCTCTTTCGGATTTCCATTTGTCAAATTCAGAAAATGCCAATACCTACTCAAAATAGAGAGTGAGGTCTGTTGCCAATATTGACTTCTTCAGAAGCTGCATAAGGTCACTGTAATCCTTGGAGGACAAGTTAGCAAAGATGTTGTGACCCTATAATGAAAGAGATAGCAAAGCTAAATAGCTTAGAATCAATAGACTGTTTTTGAAAGGTTTTCCAATAGCTCTGCAATGTGTGTCATTATTACAGCAAATCTCTCTTTTTATTATGCATACTGAAATCATGACAAAAATATTTTTATCGGCCACTTCTATTAAGATGAAATTATGGGCAATTAAAAAAAAGGATTATGCACGTAAATGTAATATATGTAACTGATGAACGACATACGTACCTCCTTTCCCTCTTTTTCTTTTTGCAAATGCCTTTGAGACTATACTTTAGAGAGGTCTACAGGCGACAACAGATTGCTGTTAGGCTGTTGGCCCAATGCTAAAAATGTTACATGGACATAATTTCCAGTGGTTTCAGTGGATTTTAGTTTTCCCTCTTAAGTATGCTAGGAATTACACTGCACATCTATTTCTAGGTTATTCTTCCCCTTTCTGAGGTATATGCGTGTAATTCTCTTTGCAGGCTTGCAGTTTATGTGTGAAAAGAACAGCCCAGAAATAAACTTCTGGCTGTCTGCCTCAGATTACCTATGAAAAGAAACTACTTGTGAATAAGAGCCCTAGCTTGCCAATTCAGGGAACATTGTGGGAAAGTTAGCACTACTTCAATGGGCTACCAAGTATATGGAGAAACCGGGGCTCTCAAAACCAAAGGCAATGTCATCCCCCCCCCCCGAAAGGTGACACCGAGCACAAGGAAACCTGAAATCAAGGCACACATTGGTTTCCCACCCAGTTCTTTCTGCAAAATAAATGTAAATGCACATGGGGAGTATTATGTTTATTTTTTAACTTTTTAGGATGGACCTGCTTGCTACTGCCAGGATGTCCTGTGATTTACCAGTAAACGCAGAATGGTCAAACACTGGCCCGGTTCGCACATATTTCTAAGCCACGGTTAACGTTCGCCATAGCTAGTAAACCACAGTTAATGCTGGCACATATGGCAGATCACTTAAATATTGGTTCATTTCATCCCTCCAATAGAGGAAACACAACCCAGAAGAACCATTCTCAATTTGTAGATTTTGGGCAATGATGGTGGCTACTTAACCAATGTCAAGGAGGAGATCAGGGTTCGGACATAACATTAAGCTATGGTTAATGCACGTGGCAGGAAAATGATTATGAAATGCTATTCTTTTGGACAAGGCATTTGATGCTAATACTACATACTCTTTTTATTATTATTGGATGCACAGGGGTGAGCTACACCAAAATTCAGTACAGAGAAATATACATGTCTGAAAAGATCTGTACGGGATCTTACAGATACCCCACTGTTGAGTGCAATCTATTGTGTGGCAACTCAGTACAGGGCCTTCTCTGTGGTGGCATCCCAGTTGTACAATTCCCTTCCTCAGAGGTATAACAGGAACTATCGGGTCACATCCACCATACATTTAAAGCACCAAGTTCTGGGAATTGTGGTTTACCCATTACAGAGCTACAATTCTCAGCACACTTAACGAACTACAGTTTCCAAGAGTCTTTGGAGGAAATCAACGTGTTTTAAATGTAAGTATGTATGTGAGATTTATTTGCTCTTTGTACTGGTTGAGGGAGGTTGATCTGTTAAGGCCAGCTGTAATGGATGGGATGCTTGTTGTCTTTATAATATAGTATGATTTCAACTTGGTTTTAAATTGTTATATTGCATTTTCTAGCTTTAAGGTACAGGTGTTTATGTTTGTAAGCCACCCAGGGACAATATTTGATGAACGGTGGTTAAAAAAAGAATAAGTGAATGCATTATTTATGCAAAGTACATTAAGCACCTGAACAGATCAATCCTGGGCATGTTTACTCAGAATTAGGTCCCACTGTGTTTGATGGAGCTTGATCAAAGATAAACGTGTATATAGGATTATAGCCTTAGTAATTGTGAATTAGAGTAAGACAATATGCTTTTTTAGTTTGCATATGTTTACTATTATCAAGATCAGGTTTTCAACATATTTGGATTTGGCAAGAAGCAGTGTTAACTGAAGCAAACAGAAAAAGCAAGAGAACGTAAAAGCTGGGACCCATAATAAAATTAAGAATTTGGCGCATGTGAAGGCTTGTACAAACGTACCGTGCTTCTCACCCTTACCAGACTCAACAGGGAGACCTCATACTGTGTCAGAAAATGTTTCTAAGCCCCCAAATCTCAAGAGTGGTTCAGTGGCCAATGCAGAAGGGCAGGCTCTCAAGAGAAAGAAGGAACTTGGAAGTCCCAATATATTTATAGAACATTTGGGGCATGACTCTTTGGATCAAGACCAAGGGTATATAAAGATTGGAACCAGCTCAAAGGTTATGGCCATCATAAACAGCTGCTAAGTGAAAGCATTATTTATTTCACACTTGGGTGTGTGTGTGGGGGGGGGGAGTTTACAAAGAGAAACCACATCATTACCAACCTTTCTTTATATAAAGCCAATTGATAGTTTAATCTGTAAAACCAACCTGTAAAATGTACATGAGACTGCATCATCCTTGGTATTTCTTTGCTGGTCTTAGCAGAAAAACCATTCACACAGAATTTTATTTTATTTTTACAGTGTCATCTTTAAAAGCCTGCTTAGTGCTGATGAAGGAGAATATGTTAGAGAGGAAAAACCTATCAATAGTTTACCACCCACCCACCCACACACCAATGGTTTTGTGTTGTCTGACTTGACGGGCTTATTTACTATGAAATACCAAGAAGGCTGTAGAAAGATTGTATCATAGACTTACTGCATTAATCAAGACAGAGGCAATGTTAGTCTATATTCTGGGGGGAAATGTATTTATGATGCAGAACATTTACTAGACTACTGTGGTTCTAATGGTGTAAACAACAAAAGTCAGAAACTTTTCAATCACATTCCAGGCTGTTTGGATTTGTTTAACTTTTTTGACACAGGGAGCCAATGTTATATATTTAACAGTTTTATAGCCCACTTTTCAGGCAACAAAGCAGCTTACAAACTATGCATAAACATAAATACAATACAATTTCAAATTACACATGCCTTCTCACAAAACCCAATGACACATGTATCAAAGGAATCTGGAGCTGAACTCAGGATCCCTTTTCTACCAGTTTGCAAAGAAAGGGACAAGTAATAGATGCATTGAACTGATAAAAGAAAAGCAGGTTTATTTTAGATACTTATATTTACATAAGGAGAAGAGGTTGGGCATTCTGCTGGCTTTGTACCTCACTCTGAAGAATCATGACAGCGTGGTTAAAATGATGGTGCTCCAGAGTAGCAGAAGTCCCGTAGAGCTGAGCCAAGGCAGATCCAATCCTGGGGAAAAAATGCAACACACACAAAGGAGCCACACTGATTCTTTCCACATATCATCTCGTCCAAACCCTGGCTCAGTGCAGGATCTGCAACTACAGCATCACTGGCTGATGGTTACTGAACTTCTGCCAAAATACCTCCAGCAAAGGAGAGAAACGCTACTCTGCTTTACCACTCATGAGTTCCTCTTTCCAAAAACCCCAGCTATGCTACAGTGAACGGTGAGAGAAGAGGGCATCCCGGCTGCGCCATGGTTTAAATTTCTCGCAGCCACACCCCCTACCGGCGCTGAATGGACAGCAGGGTTACCCCTGGGCGAGCCCCTGGCCAGCGCCAGCAAGAGGGGAGCGTCAATCTCCGCCCCCCGCTGGATCTCCACAGGGTCCCTGGATGCCTGGCCGCAATGCCACCCACTGGAAAAGGTGACCAGATTTCATACCAGGTTGCGTTTTGCTATGGGGGCAGTCAGCTAGACACTATGTTTATTTCAAGCCACTGTGCTGATCACCACCATCTTACCCAAAGTTAGCAGACAACAGCAAGGTCTGTTAGCCCAATCTAGGATCATGTACTGAAAATGTTGGAATATAGGCTACAATTCTGATCTTTTGGTGAATGTTCCTCAGACCAGTGGTTTTAAGGAGGAGCATATACCCAGAGTCGTACACTTTGAAGGGGTGGGGCAAAACCTTGTAGAAAACCCTTCTTGCCTCCTCTCCTGCAGTCAGCCTGCCTTGTCTTTAACTCAGCAGCATTGCAAGTCCCTCCCTACAAGAAACACAAACTTTTCCCCACTTAAGCCAGATCCATCTGTATCAGCAGTACACCAGAACTGCCAAGCCATTTTTATACACTTGCTCAGTTCACTTAGGACATGAGGAGGAGTCAGCCGCCATTTTGTTTCAGTAAGAGAGGAAAGGAAAAGACCATCACAACTTCACAGGTATTGTCTCACAGTGAAATCTCTGCAAATTGGAAAAGTATTGTTCTTCAGTCTTTTCTGCTGGCTCTGACGAGAAGATGATGGAGGTGGCAACAGAAAATAACTCAGCTGTTTAACAGAATATCTGCTTAAGACAGGGAAAAGGTTGAAGCTCTTCCCCCATGCCTCCTCAAATGAAAACTTCCTCGCCCAAAGAAAACTGCAGGCCGCAATCCTATACACACTTGTCTGAGAATCTTCCTTCATATAGTAGGACCTTTGAGAAAACATGCATGGGATTACACAATTTTCCCCCTCTCTTCTGATCAGAGGGTTTTATGGAAGAATTTCTCTCCTGTGTTGGCTACTTACTGTTGTTGCAGGCACAACAGTAAACACAGCAGCAAAAAACGGATTTGGTTCACATCAACCCCCTTCTTTTAGCCAATCAAGATGGCACCACATCAATAACATTCAGGGTCAACAAAGAGAAAAGCTAAGGCAGTAATAGAATCAGAGACAGGCAAGCAATGAAGGGTTTTAAAGAAATACACTGTTATTGCACAAAAGAAATGGGGGGAACCAGTCTCTGATTCACAAGAACAGTATGCAGACACTGGGCTGCCTCACACTGTGTCACAAGTGTCACCCCAATTTGTGTAGTATTAGCATTATTCTCACTGTACCTGTTGCATCTAGTGATAGGCCATTTTAAAAGTTGAAATTGATTTTTAAAAATACATCTGCGCTCTTCTGTGTTCCAAAAACATCTAGTAGGGTTAGCTCTGGTTTCAGCTGAACGTAAGATTGGAAAAGACTTGGATTACAATTACAGTGATTTGATTGAGGGCCCTGCTCCCAGGAAGCCTCAAAAGAGTTCATTTCATTAAAAAGGGTAGTAGACAATTGACTCTTAAATGATTAATCACTATACTCTTATTTATCAGTGAACTGGCTATCACCAATTCACCATATGATAGCCTCCTATCATATCATCTTACAATTTTCTTTTGTGAGACATGGGGGTGCATTTGTTTACATAAGAGTATCACATATGGAGCTAATGGCTTGTTTCTTTTTTATTTATGATTTATAGTCATGTTCTTACAGTGCTGTGTTGATGTACTGCATGAAGTAATATTCTCCACTCCAGTTACAATAAAAATTGACCACAATAAATGCATTATGAGACATTTATCCATACTTTCATTGCAGTTTCTTGTATAGAATTAAGTGACGTGTTATTATGCCTAACTTGCTTACAATCCTTTAAGGGGCCTCAAATGACTCTCTTGCCCACGACCCCCAAAACCCTAGGATCACCTCGGAATGACTTTCCTAAAGTAGCTCCTGTTTGATATACAATAGAAATGCTCTCTTGGACCACAGGTGCTTTATATACTCTTATTATAATAAATGAAGTTTTCTACATAAAGGAGAGTTGTATACATGTAGGGCACATACATTAAAAGATGCACAAAATATACAGTCATAAATCATATATATCCACGCACACTTTTAAGGTGGATGCAGCAATTACCTTTGTTTTGTGTAAAGATACTATTAATAATATGTAAGCAAAATTTGCAAAGGGGAGGCTAGACATACAAAAAGTCTAATGCCAATTACAACTTCATTCTTAATGTAAGCAGCAGCATACAGTAACAAACATGCTACAGTGAACAAGAAAATAGAATGGCATGAAAATGTAGCACCATCAGCACCATGTATATCTACTCAAAAGTAACTCACACTGTGTTTATTAGTGAAAATTGTATAGAAATGTGTTTATTAGGAAAAATGGTGACGTATTTTCATTAGGACTTTTTAAAAAATTCACAAACAGATGTTAAAATACGTCAAACTGAACCTAACCTAACACTGGAAAAAGGAAAAACTGAGAGTAACTGAAATTTGCAGATGCATCCATTGCTACTTTGACTTAAGCCCAACTATATGCATGGAGCTTACTCCCTAGTAAGCACGTTTAGGATTGCCTTCTAAAGTATGGGTACTACGATATCTGTGTGTGTGTGTGTGTGTGTGTGTGTGTGTGTGTGTGTATAGTGTGTGTGTGTGTTGCACATCATTTAAAATGCTAAGTTCAACCATTAAAGGGAAACTATGAAAAGTAATTTAAAAAGTGAGAATTGTTCGAAGGTGAAAAGCAATGGAATTGGTCTGTCACAATAGATTAATGCACGCCAGCATTTCACTTCTGGGATGCAGCCTTAAGTGAAAAGATGGGGTTTGTTGTGGTAGTGGTGGTTGTTTTCTAAAGAAATGAGTATAATGGATTATGCTAGGAAGGAATGGGCGGGGGGTAAGGAGTCTCCTAGGAGCTTATACTACAAAGCTGCCCCATACTGATATTTAATCACCATGGGGCAGCTGTATTGGGGTGGGGTGGGGTGGGGTGGGGTAGAATGACTGGGAATCATAATCCCCCATGATTAAACCATGCTGGGATGTATTAACAGAGCAATTTCGGGAAGCTGTGATGCTGTTTTCAATCACATGCCTCTTGATCTTTCATCACACTCAACCCTGGCACTTAAAAATAATGTTAGACTTGGTTTTAGGAATGAGCGTATGACAATAAATTGTGGAAGGTACAAGTCCTACAGCTGAAGCACTTGACGTGCTATGTCATGATGTGCCTTTTCTTTAAACTCTGCAGCGATTTCCACAGTATTATAGGAAGACTGTAAGCTCTCTAGACAAGCACAAGGGACAGCAAACAACGAACGATAGCCTTTGATTGATGGGTTGGTTTCCTCTTTAAGATACCTTTCTTCTTTTCTTTTGAAAAGGCAAATTGTGCATCATCCCCACAGAAAAAAGTGGGACAGGCTAAACAGGGTTTTGCTTTGCTTTTTTAAAGTCAAATTGTCTGAGCAATGATTTATGAATCTATAATCTACCAGGGCATCTTGACAATTCAAAGGCCAGTTCACATGCAACTTTCTCCTTCACGTAGAAACACAAGCATGTACATCTTCACATATTTATTCTAGGCTCCAGCCACTTCTGAAAAGGCTCTTAAGCCTGGCTGTAGGCTTGCCATATTTAGAAGAGCAAAAAAGAGGACACATTTGCCTACTTCTTCTTTTAACTATGTGTCAGGGAACTGACATCAGAGACAAGCAGAGAGGGAAGTCGCCCCAATGATGCAGGGGAGGGAACTAGCAAGGAGAGAAAAAGGGCTTCCGCTGGGGAAGGAAATCAAGGTGACACCAGGAAGAAAGGGGAGGCTGAGAGTACTTCGGAGGGAAGGCTCCGAGACTCTTCCAGTGAGATCAGCGGGGAGAGCGCAGGACCTCCGCTTGGCACGCCTACTCTGCGCAGAAGGCTTCCGCGCAGAGAAGCTAGGCGGAGACTTGCTGTCAAGGAATTCTTATGTTGGAAGAAGTTCAGGAAACGCCCACTGACGGATTCTGCCAGTGATTGAGACAGTCGCGTTGTGAGGGCTGTCAAACCAGGGAAAGGTTTAGCTATACAACCAGCTTGGAACAGTTGGGGAGTTTACGCACAAGCAACCCCAATTCCCATTACACCATGGATCACTATGATGACTCTACCCATTAAAAAAAAAGGATGTGTCCTGGAAAAAGAAGACATATGGCAACCCTAACTGGTTGCATTTAAACTAGCATTTCACTGTCGAGTAACAGGACTGGGGCAAGACTTTTGCTGCCTGAGAAAGAGAATCAAATGGTGCCTCCCAAATCAATGCACACAGTCCCCAAGGGTCACCCCGCAAGCACCTCTTCCTCTCCCTGGCAGTAAAAGCACAATAATAGTATTGTTATAGATTTATAGGTGCTGGAATGTAATTAAGGTTTGTAGTGTCAAAGCTAATTTCAATGGAGGCAATAGCCAGACTCATGTGTATTTAAGATGGCTGTTTGCTGCTGTTAATCCCCTGGAACTAGCATATGCAAAGGGTTAAATAATTTAGGCAAACTTCCTGACTTGTGTATCAGCCACTACCTTTAATTCTAGGCCATCAACATGTGTAAAAGCTAATTTCCTTTGGGGTAATGTCCCATTAGCAGGTCAAAATCCAGTCATAGTAGCAAGCAACACAGAAAATGAGGAAGGGGAAAAAATACTATTATCTATTTCTGGTTCCTCCTACAGCAATTGTTTGGGTGGAGGGTCATTTTAAAAACACAGCACCTTTCCGGCTGCCTTACTATTTCCCATGGTGTAATAGAGCAGAACGTAAGCATGAGTTGGTGTGGCGGATTTACTTAAATTGTATCTCACCTTTCAATCCAGTAATAACCTTGGCTTATATAAAATACTGTGTCTAAGGTAGGGTAGGCTCAAGCTACAACAACAGGCTAGTGAAAGGGCAGATACTGTACATGCAAGCCGTCGCACGTATCCAGGCAATTGATAGGTAATACAGTGGTACCTCAGGTTAAGTACTTAATTTGTTCCGGAGGTCCGTTCTTAACCTGAAACTGTTCTTAACCTGAGGTACCACTTTAGCTAATGGGGCCTCCTGCTGCCGCTGCACCGCTGTTGCGCAATTTCTGCTCTCATCCTGAAGCAAAGTTCTTAACCCGAGGTATTATTTCTGGGTTAGCGGAGTCTGTAACCTGAAGTGTCTGTAACCCGAGGTACCACTGTACCAGCCACCCTTTCTCAACATGTTGTGCCCTGTGATGGTGGGAAACTACAGTGGTACCCGGGTTACAAACACCTCGGGTTATAAACACATCGGGTTACAGACTCCGCTAACCCGGATGTAGTACCTCGGGTTAAGAACTTTACCTCAGGATGAGAAAGGAAATCCGTGGCAGCAGCAGCGGGAGGCCCCATTAGTGAAAGTGCGCCTCAGGTTAAGAACGGTTTCAGGTTAAGAATGGACCTCTGGAACAAATTAAGTTCGTAACCAGAGGTACCACTGTACAACTTTCTCTTGCTGGAGTTAAGTGCCTGGCCTGCTGTTGAGCTGGGGTGTGGGCAGCTGATTCAGCTCCAAGCGATCCACTGCTTTTGTGGATTGCCAGCTCACTATCCTGCAAAATGGACCGTGGAGGACATAGCAAAAAACCTTCCGACCCATAAACTGGAGTAAGAGCTACAGAGATATTACAAATAAGAAGCATCTCCCCCTGCGTTTTGTAGTAATATGTTCATATTAGCCCAGAAGGACCCCGTTTCTGAAAGCACCTGTTTCTGTTTTGAATGCAATCAGTTATGTTTCTTTTAATATTGCCTGAAAATCTGCATAGCTGCAAAACAGAACCAAGAAAGACAGATGGGGAATTTTCTAACGCTCTCCATTTTGGCATACGCAGGTATGTAAATGAATGTGGTATTCCAAGAGTGGAACAACCAGATTCTGTGTCATGGTTTTATACAAGGCAGAAATTTACATGGAGCAAGCCAAATCAACAGCATGATGCCAAAGTGATTTAAAGTTGTTGGGGTGTGTGTGTTTTTTTTTTTTTGGGGGGGGGGGGAAGAATAGGAAATTATTTGGGTGAATAGTCTCTCTTAAAGGCAAGCATAAAAATACTCTGCTGTGCAAGGCAACTTAAAATCAATGCTTTCTTCTGCATTCTTCTTCTAATACATGTAAGGAAAACAAAGAATTAAGAAAGAAGTAACATACTTTGCTTGAAAGGCATTGTTTGTTCCTCTGTGGTCAAGGTCATGGCACAAACATCCCACAATCAACGCTAAAATTTCAATTTCTGTCAGAATCTCCTGAAATCCTGCTGTCTGAAAACAGGGAAAACAAATATTGATGATGTCAGTAACTTCAGTCATCCATGATGCCACTAAAAATTAAAACTGGTACGTAATAGGAAAATGTACAGAGATTGACTTCTTTATTTCTTAGACTATTTTATGCCCCCTTTCAGAGTTAAAACCTTTACAATGTAATTAAAATAAAATACATAAAATATGAGACAATTCATAAAAAATAAAAAGAATAAAACAAGCACTCAGACAAATATTCAAAGTTCGCCCCCCCCCCCCCGCTGAATCTGGGAACAGGCTTAGGAAGCAGGGCATAACTTCCCCACTTCAAAACTGTTTAGATACCCTTCTTGGCATATGTAAACAAAACTAGTCAGCTAAAACAACACTCATTTTCCCATTTTAAACTTTGGATGTGCTTAACACAGGGCAAGAGCTAAAAGCACTTCTGAAAATTCATTTTAGAAAACAAGTAAGCACGCTGATAAACTTGAATTGCAACAATTTCTTTTTCTTGGATAAACAAGTTTGTTTTGATTCATTCATTTATTTGCTTATTTATTTAAATTTTATCCGACTATCACAGGGCCATTCACAACATAAATGTTGTAGTCTACATACTTTTGTGCAGTTGTTCTGTTCTGGAAAAAGTAATCTATATGTAAGATTTAACATAATTTCCATAAGAAAAAGAAAGCTGGAATAAGTAGGGTTTTAAAACCCGTTTTAAAAAAACTGTATCAATATATATATCGATAGACAAAGAGTGCTACAGAAGTGGAACCACCACTGAGAAGGCCCTTTCTCTCTCTCGAATGCTTCCCTGTTACACCCAATTTACTGTTCTGAGCTTTGGAACCCATGAATGTGGATTCACAGTGCAAATAAAGCACCAGCCTTGTCTTTGCCAGTAATATACTTGCTCATACATCACAATATTGCCAAAGTGCAATTTAAAAAATAATAAATGCCTCAATTTCATCAGACACTGTGCTTTTCTGATGACATTGTAACCAGGAAGCCAGTTGGCCAAATTTACCAACTGGTCTCGCATCAGTAACTGGGCCATGGAGCAGGAAGCTTTCCATCTGGTGTGGTCATGTATTACACAGCTATCGTGTTAAGAAGGCCATAAGGGAAACAGTAAAGGAAGGGAGGCAGAATTAGCCATCTTCTATGCAGTATTTTGTTACTGCAATCTCCTTGCTGATGCTCTAAAAGTCTTTTATTTTTATTTTCTCATTTATACCACACCCATCCGGCTGGTTCTCCCCGGCCACTCTTGTACGAGGCTTCACTATGCAGAGATAGTTGGGCGTGGAATCAAGAAGGAACCTTCTTCACCGGTGCTGATGCAAGCACCTCAACCTGGGTCTATGCTTTAAGACTGCAGGTTGTCCTTGCCTTTGGGTACCAGGAAGGCAGCAATGGTTGGTGCTGTTGTCCTGGAGGAGAACAGCCTCTTTGTGGTGCAGGAAGAAATGGTGGAGAAAGAGGACACCAAGCCCCCAAGAACTTTTCAAGCTTGCATCCCAGCCAGGGATGCAGTAACAAGCTTTCCTTTATTTCCGCATGCTTCCCTTCCCACCCCTAACCCTCAATGTTTTGGACCATAACTGGGGCAGATGTGAACCGTGATCCAAAATATCTGGAGGTCGGCAGTTGGGGAAGGCTGATTTAGAGGCTTTTGTTGTCCTCAGTAGTGTAGCGTGGGCTGCTGGTGCCCAGGGCAAGTGTTGTGCTGCCCTAGTTGACCGGGCAGCTGGGGTGAGGGTGCATGCAGAGGGTGAACTGAGCCCGCCTCCAACAGGCTCCTCACCCACCACCTCCACCCACCTGCCCACTAAACCAACCCGCCTGCTGCCATGCCTCAGCTGCCAGGGCTCCATGCCTGTCATGGGGGCACCTGATTGCGCCCCCTCAAAAATGTATGCCTGGGGCCACAGCCCCCCCGGCTCCCCCCCTCTGGTTGTCCTCAGTGCCCCATTCTATCCAACACATGGAACAGCATGTTTCTTCTCTACAGCTCTGTATAATGGGACTATGCCACATCTTTCAGTGCTAGTTTTCCCCAGTTAAACTATGCTTAACTATGTACATTATCCTGAGCTCCTTGGACAAAGGGTACGTTAAAAACATAGTAACGAATATGTAGTGCTGACCTACTTTGCTAAGTTGGTGGAACATAACAGGTACACTTGCAGCGCCAGCATAATGAAGCCATTGCAATATAATTTGATCCTTTTTTTTCTTTTTCTTTTAATCACCCTAATCCTTACTATCCGAAGCTCTATGTGCCACTAAATCAGCTCATAGGATCAGGCTATAATTTATTAATTTTTGCTTTCAGTACAGATGTTATTTGTAAAATAAATAAAATTGTGTGCAAACTGGACGTTTTGTGTCATAATTAAAGAAGGACATTGGCTAAAAGCAGACACAGCTCTTAAAGAATAAATTCAACTGTAGTTGATCAAAAAAGAAATCTTGTAATAAAGTAGGTAAAAATTATTACAAAAGCATCGTTTTCAGTGTATGCTGTGGGGGCAGGAAAATTATCTGCTTAGTAAGGCGCTAGACAAGTGATTATGTTTCCCTTTGCTTTAAAAACTGAAACATGTAAAGGAAAATGCACAGTACAAGATGATAGGAGAGCAAAATTTATTTTCGCCAAAAAATAAATGACCTTAACTCACAAGTGCCAGAGTCTAAAGTGAGTTATGGAGGTCATTTTTTCATGTGAGGAAATTAATTGCATCATACCTGGTCTGCTTTTATGTGCTTTGTTGTTAGCGCACTGCATTTATGTATAATTATTTGCTATATTTATGAGTTGTGGAAAGAAAAATAAAATGTTGAAGAGTATCTGAAGAAATATGAGTGTAAAACAAAAACACACACAAAAATTGGGCTGATCTTGAGGTTGATCCTACAGTCAAAATTCCTTACTCAAACGAGTAGTCTCATTACAATCAATGAAAGCAGTCATGGGAGTTAAAATGATGGATGCGTAGGTTGCAGCACCAGGTCTGCAGCTCTCAAAGGCCAAGCCATACAGGGGTAACAGTATAAATCACGGAACGTATAAAAGGACTGCAGAGCTGTGAAGTTATTTTAAAACTTTAATGCTGCATTGCATAGCAGGACTCCCTGATGGAATGAAAACACTCACAGCCATACACAGCTTAGGCTGAAACTGTGTTTTTGAAAACTGTGCATTCCTCTTCACTCTTTGTAAATTGAGTGGTTCCCCCACTTTGGGTGCTAGAAAAGTATGAATAGTTCTGTTGATGCCATGTAACAGATTGGGCAATACAAGTCCATGTGGTATAAGTTGCCACAAATTTAGCTTTAATAGCAGCAAACCATTGTGAACATTAAGGGTAACGTGCATGGGGAATTGAACCTCTTTCTCCCAATCAACATGGCTTGGTAATCCAAATCTAGGCAGCCCAGCACCATAAACCTAAACTAATTGCCAGTGTTTGAAGGAAGCCACCATTCTACGTGGTAGTGGGATCAGAGCCTCACAGCGAGGAGGAAGTTAAGCCAGGGATGAGAAACCTGTATCCTTCTAGACGTCCCAACAGCCTCAGACTCCATTTTCTGCCAACCTAGCAGTTTGAAAGCACACCAGTGCAAGTAGATAAATAGGTACCGCTGCAGCGGGAAGGTAAACAGCGTTTCCGTATACTCTGGCTTCCGTCATGGTCCTCCATGCGCCAATAGCGGTTTAGTCATGCTGGCCACGTGACCTGTAAAGCTGTCTGTGGTTAAACACCGCCCCCCTCGGCCTGAAAAGCGAGATGAGTGCCGCACCCCAGTCACCTTTGACTGGACTTAACCGGATGGAGGTCATTTACCTTCTACCTTTACTTCAAAATACAGACATGCAGAATGCACTACAGTAGTGCCCCGCAAGACGAACGCCTCGCAAGACAAAAAACTCGCTAGACGAAAGGTTTTTTCGTCCGCGATTTGCCTCGCAAGACGAATTCCCCTATGGGCTTGCTTCGCAAAACGAAGCTTGCCCCGGGGACAGCGGGTCTTCTCTTTTGAAGCAAGGGGCTGCGGGGAGATAGCGATCTCCCTGCAGCCCCTTGCTGCAAAAGACGTCAGGGGGAAGCGGGGAAGCGAAGCGCTTCGCTTCCCCGCTTCCCCCGGACCTCTTCTGAAGCAAGGGGCTGGGGGGAGATAGCGATCTCCCTGCAGCCCCTTGCTGCAAAAGACGTCGGGGGAAGCGGGGAAGCGAAGCGCTTCGCTTCCCCGCTTCCCCCGGACCTCTTCTGAAGCAAGGGGCTGGGGGGAGATAGCGATCTCCCTGCAGCCCCTTGCTGCAAAAGACGTCGGGGGAAGCGGGGAAGCGAAGCGCTTCGCTTCCCCGCTTCCCCCGGACCTCTTCTGAAGCAAGGGGCTGGGGGGAGATAGCGATCTCCCTGCAGCCCCTTGCTGCAAAAGACGTCGGGGGAAGCGGGGAAGCGAAGCGCTTCGCTTCCCCGCTTCCCCCGGACCTCTTCTGAAGCAAGGGGATGGGGGGAGATAGCGATCTCCCTGCAGCCCCTTGCTTCAGAAGAGGTCCGGGGGAAGCGGGAAGCGAAGCGCTTCGCTTCCCCGCTTCCCCCTGACGTCTTTTGCAGCTGTTCCGAAGTGGGGCGGGGGGGGGCGGGGTCACCTGCCCCAGCCGCCCCACTTCGGAAAGCTGTTCCAGGAACAGCTCCATAGGAACCTCCATAGGCGCCCGTCACCTCTCCAGCCAGGAGAGCGCGCGCGGGGCTAAACCAGCCCCCCGCGACCCTCTCCCAGCTGGAGAAGTGACGCGCGCCTATGGCAGGAGCCTCCATAGGCGCCCGTCACCTCTCCAGCCGGGAGAGCGCGCGCGGGGCTAAACCAGCCCCCGCGACCCTCTCCCAGCTGGAGAAGTGACGCGCGCCTATGGCAGGAGCCTCCATAGGCGCCCGTCACCTCTCCAGCCAGGAGAGCGCGCGCGGGGCTAAACCAGCCCCCCGCGACCCTCTCCC